GATCCTGCAGGAGGACTTCCGCAGGCGCCACACGGGAGGTGGTGCTGCCAACAAAACTGCTGAGGGGTATGGAGCTGCAGGAGGCAGCAGAGGAAGAGGGGGTGGGAGAGGCCGAGGCCGTGGGAGAGGCTTTGGAAGAGGGAGAGGCTGAGGTGACTACAATGAGGGGCATGGGAGCTCTGGTGGCAGGGGGAGCACCCGAATGGAGGGTGCGTGCTGGTACTGCAAGAAGGCTGGACACCCATGGTTCAAGTGTTTCAGCCGGCCTGAGGGATGGGCACCCCCATGCATGAAGCCGCCAAGTGGTGAACGTGCACGAGGTGGCGCTGTGCAAGGTTCAGGTGCACAAGGTGATGGTGCACAAGGTAAAGCCGACCCTGGGATGTTCCTCATGGTTGAGGATGTGCAAGGGAGTGGGGGTGATATGGGTTCAGTTGGGAAGGTTGTGATGCACCCCCTCACCCACTGGGTGATAGATTCAGGTTGCACAAGTCACATGACCCCACGGGTAGATTTGTTTGACGAGGTAAAACCCCCAGGGAAGATCAAGTTTGTGGCTGCCGCTTCAGGTGCTTTGCTCCCTGTGATTGGTGTTGGGAATGCCAAGGTCATGGGAGCCAATGGGGGGCTTGTGGGGCTGGGAAATGTGCTGTTGGTTGAAGGTTTATCCGCTAACCTCCTCTCTGTGCGCCGGCTGCAGAAAAGCAAGGCCAAAGTTACCTTCGGCCCAACCAGCTGCCGTGCAAAGCTTGGGAAGTTGCTGCTGTGGGATTTGGAGGAGAAGAGCAGCTGCATCAAGGACCTATGGCAGCTGCCCATCATCCCTTGGAATGGGAAACCACCAGCAACGGCAGCGGCTGCAGCAACGGCTAAGGCATCTGCAGGGGGAGAGGAGACTGCACCAACTACTGGGGCCCTGGATGCAGTCAAGAAGGTGCAGCAGTCACAGCAGCTACATGGTGAGGTGCTTGCTGGTGTGGATGGGAGTGCTGCATGGGCAAAGGCTTCATCTGGGAGTGGTGAGGCCGATTGGGAGACGTGGCACGAGAGGTTGTGTCACATCAACATCCCTATGCTGCAGAAGTTAGTGAAGGATGGGTGCTTGAAGGGGCTGGAGGTGAAGGGGGCAGCAAAAGAGATTGGAAGCTGTCCTACATGCCTTGAGACCAAGTTCACAAAATTTCCCTTCAGCAGCAGCACAGGACCAGCCAAGGCTCCACTTGCACTAGTGCACATGGATGTGGTGGGCCCCACGAGGGCCCTTTCTCTCTCGGGCAGCCGCTACTTCTTGACGACAGTGGACGACCACACGCGTGCGGTGTGGGTGTACCCTCTCAAGACTAAGGGGGAGGTGGCAGCGGCTGTTTTCAAGGAGTGGATGCCGAGAGCTCAAAGGGAGAGCGGACATAAGGTGAAGGTGATCCTCACTGACAACGGAGGAGAGTTCATTGGCAATGAGTTTGAGGCGGTGCTGAAGAAGAAGGGGATCCAGCATCAGCTCACAGTGCCCTACAACCCTCAGAAGAACGGCGTGGCTGAGCGGTTCAACCGGACCCTGCAGGAAGGTGCTCGCACTCTCCTTGGGCGTGCAGGTCTGCCGGATCCGTTTTGGGTGACTGCACTCCGGCAGGTCGCCCTTGTGAAGAACAGGGTGCTGGCGACTGTGGGGAACAAGCAGTGGGTCCCCTACACCAAGTGGTATGGGAGTGCACCAGCAGTCAACATGCTGAGAGCCTTCGGTTGCATGGTGGTGTTTCATGTGCCTAAGGAGAAGAGGGGAAAACTGGAAGCTTCTGGGAGATGGGGTGTGCACTTGGGGCTTGCTAAGGATCACAAGGGCTGGCTGATTTGGGACTTGACCAGCCAGCAGCTGACTGTGTTGAGGGATGTGAAGTTCCTTGAGTCCTTATACTACAAGGACTGGAAGCAGCAGCAGCAGAAGCTTCCTACTACACCGCTGATCATTAAGGCCGATGAGGTGCAGCGGCCTTCGAGGCAAGTGCAGGTCACTGTCTCAGAGGAGGAGATTTCTGGGGTGACTGGGGATGGGGGAGAACCTGAGGTGGAGGAGCAGCAGCAGCAGCCGCAGCCGCAGCAGCAGCAAGGTGCTCCACAAGGTGCCGCACGTCCGGCTGACCGTCCTAGGAGGGATGTGCGCCCTCCTAACCGGCTGACCTATCCGAGCTTTGGCAAACCAAAGGTGGTAAGGGCTGGGAGTGTGGCTGAGCAGTGTGATGAGGAAGAGATAGCACACTGCTACTGGGCAGCCGTCCCTGAGCCCAAGACACTAGCTGAGGCATTGAGCGGGCCCGATGCTGAAAAGTGGAAGCAGAGTGTGAAGGAGGAGTATGACTCTCTACTGGAGAGTGAGACTTGGGAGCTGTGTGAGCTGCCTCCTGGGAAGAAGGCCATTTCTTTCAAGTTGATTTTCAGGCATAAGTACGGACCTGATGGGGCGCTGACCCGCTACAAGTCAAGGCTTGTGGCTAAGGGGTTTCAGCAGACAAAGGGGAAGGATTTTGACGAGATCTTTGCTCCTGTGGGGAAAGGCACAACACTGCGGGTGTCATTGGCAATGGCTGCAAACCGTGGATGGCGGGTGAAGCAGATGGACATTACCACCGCCTTCCTCAATGGGATCATTTTGGAGGAGCTGTACATGTTACAGCCTGAGGGATTGGATGATGGGAGCGGCAGGGTGTGCAGGCTGAAGAAGGCCATCTATGGCCTGAAGCAGGCTCCTCGTGCATGGTACCACAAGCTAGAGGAGACACTGCTGGCTGGGGGGTTCAAGAAGAGTGAGTGCGACCACAGCTTGTTCCTGCTGCAAGAGAAGGAGCAGTTTCTTATGCTCCTGGTGTATGTGGACGACATCCTGCTCTTCTCCGAGTCGTCTGCGATGATTGAGCATGTGGAGGAGATGCTGGAGCTGCAGTTCAAGTGCTCGAAGATGGGAGATGTGAAGTGTTACCTTGGGATGCATGTGGAGAGGGACCTTGACAAGGGAGTGCTGAGGTTGCACCAGAGAAAGTATTGTGAGGGGCTGGCTGAGAAGTATGGGCTGCAAGATGGAGGAAAGCCAGCCACCCCACTGCCTTCGGGGTTCACTGTGGAGCCCTGTGCCGATGAGGAGGTGGTGGGTGAGAGTGACAGGAAGCTTTTTCATTCCATGGTTGGGGCACTCAACTATGCGGCTAACCACACGCGCCCTGACATTGCCTTTGCAACATCCAGGCTTGCCAGTGTGGTTTCACGCCCCAGTCATGAGCAGCTGGAATCGGCCAAGAGGTTGGTTCACTATGTGAGTGCAACGGCATCAGTGGGTTGTTATAGTCACAATAGGCTTGAATGTGCCTAAAACGAAAGATAGAGAGCACAGACGGATTTCTGCACAGCGGCTTCAAACGTTGATAGCGTTCTGCTCACAGCTGCAAATGACTTGATTCAAATTGGATCTGGAGCTTCTTCACGTCGTCTACAATTAGCAATTTAGATTGCACGATTTGATAAAGAATTGACGACACAGCGTCAGTTTGAACGAACGGTACTATGGCAGCCACTATAGTCTTAGAACACAAGATAGGAAGAGTTACGAGTTGGGAATGACTCCCAGCTCCTACAAACCCCAAGAGCCGAGGTACAGTGATGTGGAACAGTGCCACACTGTCCCCAACCACGAAGGGTCTCGAAACTACCCTTCACTAGGGCCTACACCAAGTGAAATGTTACACTACACAAAGTAATGTAACTATCTTCAATATCTTGAGGTGTACCCTTTTGGCAAGCTTCGAAATCACTTGAGGCTTGACACCAAGGCTCGGGCTCTTCATCACAAACTCATCCTTGAGTTCTTGATGGGTCTGCTGCACACACCTGCGACACGCCGAACGTTCGACACAGGACAAAATAGAAACCGCGCACGACAAAATAGAAACCGCGCGCGAGACACAAACGACCGCGTAACACGCGTCTAGCGATAACTCGCTATTGACTCGACACACACACTCGACATCATGACTCAACATTCACACACAATTATAAGCATGAAATATATATTATCCCATGCCCTCATACCATTCCATACACACACACATTCACGCACACGGACAACAAGCCGAGTGCAAACCGTAGGGTTGCACCAACAAACTCCCCCTCGGATTGTTGGCCTTAGGATATGTTGCTCTCTCAGTTCAGAGCCATCCCAGCCAGCTTGCAACACTTCCAATGCTGCTGCTCCACCAGCCTCTTGGTCATCATGTCAGCCGGCTGCCCCGTGGTCTTCACGTAGCGCAACTCAACTTCACCCGCGGTTACCATGCTCCTCGTCCAATGCCACTTCACCCTCATGTGCTTCGTGAGTCCATGCAACACAGGGTTCTTAGCAAGAGCAATGGCACCCTGGCTGTCACAGTACAGTGGGGTAGGTCCTTGCTGCTCCTCCCCCAATTCAGCCAACAAACGCCGCTGCCACACAATCTCCCGTACGGCACGGAAGAGTGCCATGTACTCGGACTCCACCGAGCTCAAAGCTTGGTCAACCTGCTTCTTGCTCTCCCAAGCAGTTGGGCCTCCACCAACACAGCATATGAAGCCTCCGACACTTGTCATGTCCTCTGGTTCTGATGCATATGAAGCATCCGAGTAGGCGGTGAGGAACAAACGCCCGGGTTCAACACCATCCGCGCCCTTTTGGCGCCTTTGTGCCGCCGCCGAGTATTGCAGCCCAACGGTCGGTGTTCGGCCAAGATACTTGGCCACCCTCATTCCAGCTGCTACCTGCTCCTCATTAGGGCATTGCACAACCCTAGCCAGCTGCCCGGTAGCAAACGCGACGTCCGGTCGGGTGTTTACCGCCGCATACATGAGGCTGCCCACCAACGAGTGAAATCGGCGCCTCTCCTCTTCACCAACGCTCTCCTCCTCTGGTCCCTTCACACACTTGAACCCAGAGGGAAAGGGTGTAGCCACATGGCCTTCACTCTGCCCAAATTTGGCAGCCAATGCCTCCAGGTACTTTCGTTGATGCACCCGCATGCACCGCTTCTCCACATCTCGTTCGATGTGGAGCCCAAGGTAGAAGCTCACGTCACCAAGGGCCTTGCACTTGAACTTGTCTTGAAGCTTCAGCATCACATCCTTCACAAGGTCAGAAGAGGGTGAGAAAATGAGGATGTCATCCACATAAACCACCATGAAACTCCTCTGCTCCCCCTCGCCAAGCATGAACAAGGAGTGATCGGCCGTTGAGGGAGTGAAGCCGATCCCCTCCAACACTTCGCGCAGCTTCATGTACCATTGCCTAGGGGCCTGCTTCAGCCCATAGAGGGCCTTCTTCAGCTTCCACACTCTGCCACTACCATCATCAAACCCCTCTGGCTGCGCCATGAAAATCTCCTCCTCAAGGATGCCGTTAAGGAATGCCGTTACGATGTCCATTTGCTTTACTACCCATCCTTTGATGGCGGCTCCCGCGAATAGGGTTCGCAGCGTCGTCGGCTTCACCACAGGGGCAAACAGCTCCTTGAAGTCCACCTTCTCCTTCTGCTGGTACCCCTTGGCTACAAGCCTAGACTTGTAGCGCTCGATCTTGCCGTCGGCATCCGACTTGATTTTGAAGAGCCACTTGGATGTTATCGCCGTACGCCCCTCCGGTAGCTCCACCAATTCAAACGTGTCATTCTCCTCGATGCTCTTCAGCTCACTCTCCATGGCCTTCTTGTTTCGGGTCGGAATGTGACAAGATCGGAGTTATCCTTTTCCGTTTCCCTCCCTCAATTCCACCCTTCTTCTATCCGCCCCCCCACCTCCAGGCAGCCCCACGCGGTTCCTCAGCTCCCCCCATTCGTGCCCCGCCAGTCAGTCTCCCCCATACAGCAACCCATGCGTACACCCCTTTCCCCTTCCCCACCTCACCACCTCTTCCCACCCCAGCTAATTGGGTGCCCTGCTGCGGGGACCATGCCGTCCCCAGCTGCCAGCTCCGGTGTTCTTCCGAACCTGGAGCCGCCGTTCGAGGCTGCGAGGAGGTTCGGCACAGGACCGGGCTGGGCGTTTGGTCTGGATGGAGGTTCGGTGGCCCAACCCGAAGGAAAGTGTGTGGGAGGACGGAGAAGAAAGAAGAAGGGAAGGGTGGGGCAGTAGGGGAAGGCAGGGCGAGGGACAGGGAGATTGTTGGAGAGATCGGTGGGGTTGGAGCGGAAGGGGACGATGCCGAAACAGAGGAGTTCAGAGGGGTGGCGGGATCTCGTGCTGCGTTTGGTGGTAGTGCTGGTGCTGGTGGTGAGGTGGGTGCTGATGCTGCTGCTGGTGCTGCTGGTGGTGGTAAGGGGAGTGTGGCAGCACAGTTGGGGAGGCTGCAAGGGGTGCATTGTTGGGAGAAGCAGCAGCATCAATGGCAGGGGCAAGGGATCGGCCGCAGCAATGCCGACAGCTGCACAAGTGGTGGCACAAGTGGCAGCAGAAGCAGCTGGGAGAGAGGGGATGTGGGAGGTGCTGGGTCAAGTGGTGGCCCTGTTGCTGCTTAAGAGTACCATTGGGCAGCTTTGGAACACTCAATTGCCTCAATCTGCACCAAGCCCAAAAATGTTAGAAATTTCCTCCGCTTCTGCTTTTGATTATAAATGCCGTACTTTTACTCAACACCAGGGAGGTCTGATTGGATGTCGCCTTTCAATGTATTCATTCACTTTTGACAAATTAATATGGTACCGTACTTGCATCCAGAGGTTTTGCTCGATGAAGCACAATTTTGGCCTGAAAATGCAGCTATGGTCGACGTACTACCGGAGGTCGTGGGAGCAGGGAAGGGAGGGGAGTAGGTCTTCCTGCCTGAATAAATGTAAGCCAGAAGCAGTGCCTTTCGCAAGCTGTACCGGTAGTTCCAGGCATGAAGGAGGCTCACGCATGTGCAGTCAAACAGAGGTTAGATAAATAAACAATACATAAATGTATATAATATCAGTAGGGGTGATCGCTCAAGCGGGGATGGTTCTAAGCACACGCAGGCAGAGGGGACCCGCACAAGTTGTCGTTCCCTGGTTTGAACGAGCCTCGCTTCAGCTTGCTCAGAGCAGCCGGAACAGCCCCTGACAGCTGATTCCCCGCCAGCAGTACTTGCCGTACCTTTGCCGGCCAACCTGCGGGAATGGAACCCGTCAGGTTGTTATATGCCAAACCTAGTCCTCGCAGCTGCTTCATATTGCTCACACCAGCAGGGATCGCCCCTGTGAGGTTGTTTCTATTTAGGCCGAGGCCCTTGATGCGAGTAAAGGAGCTGATTGTAGCGGGGATGGGGCCGGAGAGGGTGTTGGAGGAGAGGTGGAGGAGGGCGAGAGAGGCGGAGCAGGAGGGGGAGGAGAGCGGGGTGGGCGGGCCGGAGAGGGGCGTTGGCGGCGAAATTGAGGAAGGTGAGGGCCTGGCCGGCCTGGCAGAATGCGGGGATGGGGCCTGAGGGGTGCGGAGAAGGGGGAAAGGAGGAATTTAACTGATGGGGCCTGAGGGATGGATGGGGCAGCGGAAGCAGAGACTAATATGAGAGGATACGAATGAACAGAAAGCTCAACAGAACGAAACAAAGTGCATTTCACCCAATGAGCTCACCTGTCAAAGCGTTTGCCCCGAGGTCCAAGTATTTTAGCTGGGGTAAACTGCCGAGGCGTGGGGGAATGCTCCCTGTGAACTTGTTGAATCCGAGGTCCAGAGCGGTAATGTCTGCGGGCAGTTTCGAAAACGGCTGCAAGCTGCCCGAGAAATTGTTGTGGCTAAGTAAGAGGTTAGCCACATAGGGACTTCCGGACTTGAAACAATTAGCTGGAACTGTTCCTGTCAGGCGATTATGCGAAAAACCAGCTGCTACTATGCCGCCACGATTGCACACGATTCGCGGGAACGAGCCCGAAAACAAGTTGTGCGAAACGTTGATTTCCGACACCCTTTCGTCGAAGCGGATCGAGTTGAAGTTCTCAGAAACTAGACAGGAATGATTGGATTGAAAGAAACATGGGTACAACTACTAACCCTAACTTTGGGCTGTACCCCATATGAGCTACCCCACTACAGCCTACACAAACCTAACACATATATATAATTTGACACACCCCCATAGGCAAAGTGGGGGAGAACAAGGGGTCATAAGACCAGTCTAGCAGAGCAAAACAAGATCAGGGCGGATCACAACGTCACCACACACTCTGAGCACAAGCAATGGGCCAAAAGGCCAGTTCACATGCAGAGATATATATGCAGAAACAGCAGCACCGTGATCACTACCTAGCAAGAGCAAGCATGCAGGTATAAATATATAGATCACAGTACAGGCAAGTCTACAGCAAGTGCGGAAACGTAGGCACAAGGCCTAACAAAGTACAATGTCGCTCCGTCCTCCAAGCACGAGCCCCATGCCCGATGTACTGCACAGGTAACGCAGTACCCTCTTAGCAGCATCCATGTGCACCTTTCGGTGCCTACCAGGAGCCACGTAGCGAGCCAAAAGGCCAAGAGCGTACGAGAGGTCAGGTCGAGTGCAGGTCATCATGTACATGAGGCAGCCCACTAGCTCTGCGCAAGGACCACTCGACTCTGCAGACTCGTCCGAAGGTGGAGCTGAGAGCGAGTGACCTGTAGCTAGAGGAGTGGACTGTGGGGAGGACCAGGTGAAGCCGAAGCGCTGAAGGACCTGCTGCACCATGTGTGACTGAGTCAGTGTGATGGTGCGGCGTGCTCTGTCCCGGGTGATCTGCAAGCCAAGGTAGCTGCGCAGCTCACCCAGGTCAGTGCACGTGTGTCGCTTCTGCAGCTCCGACTTCACCAGGGCGAGAGCCTCAGTGTCAGCAGTGGCAAAGACCAAGTCGTCGACGTACACGAGGATGTAGAACGGCGGCAGCGAAGTGTCGGTGCGCAGAAACAGCGACGGGTTAGCAGTCGAAGGGGCAAACCCAAGAGCCGCAAGTGTAGTCCTCAGTGTGTCGTGCCATTCACGAGGCGCCTGGTGGAGACCGTAGACTGGCCGCCGGAGGCTCCACTGGGTACCAGGAGGGAACGACCCAGTGAAGCCAGGTGGGCGGCGCAGCCAGGTCTCCTCGTGCAGGCTGCCCTGTAGGAAGGCTGTGCTGAAGTCAAGAGAGTGAAGCTCGTAGTCACGCTAAGCGGCAACGTGCAGCAGCACCCGAAGAGTGGTCATCTTCGGGGTGGAAGAAGTCAACTCCCTCTCACTGACTGAAGCCTCGAGCAACGTAAGCAGCTGCCAGGGGAGGCGCCCGTCTATAAGGCTCGTTACTGTGCCAAAAGGTTCACGCAGCGGTATGGTTTTGACCTCTTCGATACCTTCTCCCCCACTGCCAAGCCTGCTACTGTCTACGCCGTGCTTGACCTCGCCGCTCGCCTCAATATGGAGATCCACTCGATGGACGTCTCTAACGCCTTCCTCCAAGGCGTCCTCCGCGAGCTTATCTACATGGAGCGTCCAACCGGTTTTCCCTTCCCTTCCCAGCAGACTCTGTCTGGCAGCTGCGTCGCCCTGTGTATGGGCTCCGACAGGCCTCGAGGGAGTGGCATGCTAAGCTTGCCGCCACCCTTGCTGAACTTGGGTTCCGCACCTCCCGCTTTGACGCCAGCCTCTTCCTCCGCGCCTCCCCCTCCCCCTTCTACATCCTTGTGTATTTCGATGACATGATTCTGCTCACTGCCGACCTTGGCGAGTTGGAGCGTGTTAAGGCTGAGTTGGGCAGCCGTCTCAAGTGCAAGGACTTGGGAGAGCTGCAGCATTACGTGGGCATAACCATCACCCGCGAGCGCTCCGGCCGCACCATCTCTCTCTCCCAGGGTCATTACTTGCAGCAGGTCTTGGAGCGGTTTGACATGGTCCGCGGCGGCGCCCAACGTACTCCTCTCTCTGTCGGGCACCACCTCTCTCCACCCACCTCCCCCTCAGCCTCCTCCCATCCTTATCCCGAGCTCATCGTCTCCCTTATGTACGCCATGGTCTCCACTCGCCCTGACCTTGCCTACCCCATCAGCGTCCTCGCTCGCTTTGTTGGCGCTGTCAATCATACGGACGAGCACCGGCAGGCCGCCAAGCGCATCCTCCGGTACCTTCGTGGCACCAAGGACTATGTCCTTACCCTTGGCGGCCCTTCCCCACCTCTCCTCAGCGGCTACAGTGACTCCTCCTGGGCTGACTCCCGACCAGATCGTCGCTCCTCCCAGGGCTATGGCTTCTCTCTTGGTAGCGGCCTCATCAGCTAGCGTTCCACGCACTCATCGGCTATCGCCCTCTCGTCCTGCGGAGCAGAGTTGTATGCTGCCACCATGGCTGCCCAAGAGGCTCGCTGGCTCTTCTTCCTTCTTGAGGAGCTTGGTGCCCCCCAGCGCTGTCCCACCATTTGGTGTGACAACGCCAGCACCATTCACCTCATTAAGGATGCCGTGTTTCACGGGCGCTTCAAGGACATTGAGCTCCGTCATTTCTTCATTCGCGATCTTGTTCAGGCTGGGCTCAACAAGGTTGACTCAGCGGCCAACCTTGCCGACATCTTCACGAAAGCTCTTCCTCATGCGGCTCACTCTTCACTGATTCGTCTCCTTGGCCTTACTTCTCCAAAGTCGGTCTCCGCCTCTTGATTCTAGCATTCTAGCCTTATGCATGTTGGGGGGTTGCGTTGTAATTCCATATTTTATACAACATGAATAGGCTAGACTTAGATGTGTAGCGCTCTTATAAATTGGGAGGTTGTTTAGTGTTCCTCCAACCACATTTTGTGGTTGGTGGGGATTGGTCCTTACCTCAGCCAATCCCAACCAACACACATTTTGTGGTTGCTTGGGTCACAAGCAAGCTCACCCATTGGCCAACTTATTGGCCAATAGGGTAAGCTCCCCTCTCATCTCTCCCTTGCTCATTGCTTGTACTAAAGAGCCTTTTGGCTCATTGTTTAGTGTATCAATTCTTCTTTCTAACACTGCAGTGCCCCATTGAAGCCCCACACGTGCTTGACGTCGCCGCTCGGCTGCAGGTTGACGAAGACCTCCTTCGTCCCCATCAGGTGGTGGGAGCAACCGCTGTCGAGCAGGACCACCTGTCACCGCATATGCAAGGGATGCATATGCAATAACAGTAGAGTGCGGTGCTGTGAAGTAGTGTAGAAAATAGCTAAGAATGCATTGAAGTAGATAGATAAGAAGTAGTGTAGGAAGTGTAGCCAGTAGCGAAGTGTTGGTTGCAAAGGGGTGTAGAAAGGGGGAAATATGTGGGAGCGGTTGGGATGAAGGGGGAAAAGCACCGAAGGGCGAAATGGGGGATTCGAACAAATCCCAACCTCGAGCCGCACATTGGAAATGTGCAAGCCGAGGTTGGGTAAGGTCACCCACGCCCACTCACTCGATGCCTATTGTTAAGTATTCTTTCATACTAGTGCAGGGCTGTCATCCTAGCTACTACACGCGGTGGCAGAGCACTAAGAAGGAACCGGTGGGGTGAGGGAGTAATCTCGTTCATACTGAACAATAGGCGCGACACGCAGTCATGGAT